ATTATTGATCCCTGCTCAGAGCACCGTGGTCAGGGAGGGGAAAGCCACGGGCAGCCGCAGAGCTGCCCACCGCAGCCAGCCGGGGCTGCCCTGCCAGGCCCGCAGCTTTCCCAGCGCTGGCCCGGGCCAGGAGCCGGCGTGAGGGGGGAGCCGGCCCCATCCAACACGAGTTCCCTGCCCGTGCGTGCAGGCAGGCAGAGCAGACGTCACCCCTGTGCCGGCACTGGCGAGCACCCACAGCGTGCACTAGCCCACGTGTGGGCAAGAGTGTGACCCGGGTGCTACCTACCGCCGTGTGCCTGTGTGCAAATGCTTCGGGCATGCATAGCTTTGGAGTGGCCCCGTCTGCAAGAGCAAGGCTGCTCCATCAAAGGGTGTATGCGTGCGTGCGTGCGTGCACAGCGAGGACTGTATGTATTTAAGCAGCGTTAGCAGGGGGCAGCTCTGCACGAGAGCCAAAGCGCAGGCTGCAGGGCAGGAGGTGTGCATGTGCGGGTGTGTGGTACCTGTGCCCCCCCCCGCTGCCCACCTGCGTGACCCGCAAGCACAACCCCTGCAGCGGGCAGGGGAAGGCATCGGGCAGCGGGGCGGGTGCTGCAGAGGATGGGGAGCAGCCGGACGGGGCTGGGCTCAGCTCTGGGCGTCCCTGGGTGAGACCCCGATGCTTTGGGCCACGTTAGCGTTGGCTACGCATTCCTCTGCCTTATGTAACCACAGCAGGGACATAGCGGTGAAGGGGAGACGGAGATCAGGGGGAGAAGAGCTCCCCACTGAACCCCTCCCAAAGCCAAGAGCGCCGGAGCAGAAGCTGGATGCCCCTGGTAGGGTAAATCAGACACCAGGCCAAGGCAGCTGCTTTGCCACCGTGAGCACCCCGGTGCGGGGCAGGTCCAGCCGCCGGTGCCGGTCCCTGCTGGCTGCCTCCCTGCCCGGACGGGGCTGCCCTGGGGAATGGGCTCAGCCTGGAGCACCCCAAAAGCCAGCGAAATGCAGAGTGACAGTACCGGATTGGGGGGGGGGGGGGGGGGGGGGGAATAGTCCTGGGAAGTTTGAGAAAAGCCGCATTTTGCAAGGAGGTGAGAGGGAAACATTCCCCCTAAAAAATATAAATAAATAAATAAATAAATAAATAAATAAATAAATAAATAAATAAATAAATAAAAAAAATAATAATAATAAAAAAAAAAAACACACACCAAAAAAACACAAAGCCACACGGGGTACCCGTGGCTCCTGTCCTCCCCTTTGGGCTGTGCCCCCCCAACCTGCCAGCCCATGCGGCCACCGGCACCTCCTTACCTGCCAGCATCACATCTGCTGCTGCCTGCCCTGCTCCGGCTCTTCTTCCTCCTCCTCCTCTCCTCCTCCTTCTTCCTCCTCCTCCTCTCTCCCTCTCCCTGCTGCTTGGGGCTCTTTATGGAGATTCATTCATTCATGCCTTCCCATCGGTCCCTCAGCGTTTCCCTGCCTCCCGGAGGCAGAGCGTGTGACGCCTCGCCCCTTTCCAGCCACTTTCTGCTGTCACAGAGCGGCGCTGCCCCAGCCCGGAGCGACGGCCGGGCTGGGACACGCGTGGGCAGCGCCGGGCCGTGGGAGCGACTCCCCCGAGGGGCGGGGGGGCATGGGCATAGCATCGACCCACCCTGGGGGGTACAGACGGTCTCTGGCGCCCATCACTGCGGCGTCGGGTCGCCCCCCCAGGGCTTTCCGTGCTGCCCCATCCCACGCCACGCCGCTGCCCATCGCTCTCTCCCATCCAAACCTTCCCCAGCGGCTGCTGTGGGCCCGCACCCCCCGGGCAACCCTCGCCCCCTCTTTCCGTCTCTGCTCACCCCCCTCCCCAGCCCAGCCCGTCCTTCCCCCCCCCCCGTCTCCCGCCGCCTCCGCACCCGCGGCAGGACCGCAGCCCGCTCCGCGGAGCGCTGCCCCATCCACGCGGTTTACAAAAGCGCTGACTCAAGCTCGGAGCGGAGCGGCTGAGCCCTGCGTGGGGACCCACGGCTTCCCGGCCAGCCAGGCACCGGCCCCCCCGGCCGGTTCATCTCCCTCCCCCCCCCAGGATACCCCCATCCCGGGGGCCGCTCGCTCCTCCAGCTCACCGGGCAAACTTGCTCCCTTCCCCAGCCCTCCCCAGGACGGGGGAGCCCTCCGCTACCCCCCGCTGCCTGCAGCCACACAGGCAGGGGCAATACCGGCGGGGGGGGAGGTGGGGGGGGTGGGTGTAAGCCCTGGGAGGTTCCAGGCGGGACGTGCTGAGGAGGGGTGTGATTTTAGGTGCTAAACTTCAGGGGCATTGCCTCCTCTCTGCACAGGCACGGGGTTATTCCTTCCAGTCAAGCAAAGCGGAAAAATCCGCTTTTTCCCTTAAAGACACCATCGGAAATGTGAAGAGCAGTGCCCGGGCTTGGGCGCTGCCGGATCCTCCAGAGCAACAAACCGTTAATTTGAGGTGAAATCCCTTAAAAATACTCCCCATGGGGCCCCGCCCGCTCCCCGGTGAGCCGTGCCGTTTTCCACAGTCGGTGCCACCCCCTTTGCAACGTTACCATCAATTTCTATTAACGATCGTTTTATTCACCGCTGCAAACTTCTAAATATTTAATTCGGTGCAATACCGGCACCGAAACGCCCGGAGCTGACGGGAGGAGGCGAGTCCCCGGCTGGGGAAAGCGGGAGCGGCTGCCTCCGTCTGAGCTCGGCCCCGCTGCCTCTGCCCCCGGGGGAGTCTGTTGATATCGGTGTGTGTCCGCCCCCCTCTTTACCCTCCCTCCGCTGGGCTTTCCCGGGGCTGCAAATCACAGCCTGGACGTGGGCAGCATCGCGGTTCCCTCTCCCCGGGCTGCCCGGGGAAGGCAGGGATGAGTGGGGGATGCGGAGGTTTCTGGCCGTGAAGAGCTGGAGGAGGAGAGGAGGGTGCGGGGGACACACACCACGACACACACGACACACACGACACCCCGACGGGCCGGCATGTCCCCAGCCCCGGGATGCTGCTGCCGGCCGGGTCCCGTCGCGCACGGGCGGAGGATCCCCGATTCCCATCGAGCGGGACGGGGGCTGGGGACAGCTGGGGGGGGTGGAGAAGCCCTGCCCCTGGAGGGGGGGGACTGCCCCCCACCGCCCTGGCATCCCCGGGCACCAGGGCACCGGCAATATCAGGGGGAGGACGGAAGGGAACTGCACTGGGACCCCCCAAGAGAAGGAGAGGAGTGTCCCAGCCCGACGGCGGGGAGCAGACGGGGCACTCCTCCCTCACACCGCCCCGCAGACCCCCAGCCCCGGCCGAGTTTCATTAAAACGCAATCAAGAAAATTCTCTGGCAACTCCGGCCGCGGTTTAACACTGGCGAGTGCGCCGGTCCTCCGGGCTCAGCCTGAATTTGGGAACGGAGACGGAACTTTACATCAACATCTGTCATTATAATTAAAACTGCAACACAGCCACCGGGCTGGAACACGCTCCCGTCCGTCCCACCCAAGCCTTTTTTTAAAAAAAAAGAAGAAGCGAGAGCGAGTCAAACTCATAGACAGGCACCTGCCCCCCGCCTTCCCCGAGCCATCGGCGCGACGGCAACCGATCCCCCGCACCGGGCTAGGATGCGGGGCCGGCGCCGGCCCCAGGACCGGCCCCCGGCTGGATGTTGTGTCCCTCCCCCGAGCACGGACACCCCCTGCCCCCACCCCCACCCCCCCCAAGCCACTGCCACCGCCGCCCTCCTCCACTAATTTTCTTTAATCAAAGCTCTATGTGAGGCACGTTTCGCGAGGACAGAAATAGCCGCTGAAGGAGCGCATGTGGGGAGGCATGTCCAAACTGCCGGCGTGGGAATGCAGAAGGGATTGGGGGGGGGCAGGAGGAGCAGAGGCGAGGAGCGGCTCTACCACAGCCCCCACCCCAAGGCCCAGCGCCGCCGGGGTTATTTGGGGTAGTGGTTAAGAGCTGCCCCCCCCCCCGCGCCGAGCGCTTCGTGCGGCGGGGAGGGGGTGAGGTCGGGAGCCCCCTGCCCCCGGGGGGGCACCGCTGCCCGCCGCACCGGCTCTTCCCCCGGAGCGCAGGGGCTTCCCGCAGGCAACAGTTGCAGCGGCGGCACGCAGGGGCTCCCCCCAGGGATGCTCCGGCTCGGGCGCACCCCGCAGGCGATGGGGAGACCCCGAAGTGGGGATCCCCCAGGGGCGGGGGAGGGGGGGACCCACGGGCCAGGCTGCCGAAGGGGCTCCCCCGGCTCTCCGCCCTCCGCCCAGCCGGAGGGAGCCGCTCGGGCCCGATCCCCCCCTCGCACCGGGGGAAAAAGAGCATCAGGAGCGGCTGTAGCCGAGCCCGGGGACCCCACGCCCGTGGACGGGTGGGCGCCCCGCTCTCCCCCCTCCCACCCGGCCGCCTGCCCCGCGGTCCCCTCCCGCCGATGTCCCAACCCGGGCTCCAGCCGCGAAAAGTTTGGCGACACGGAACGGCCACCGGGGGCTGCGCGGGGCTCGCCGGGCACCCGGGGCTCGGCCGGGCTGCGCCGGGAGCCGCCGCGGCGGGGAGACCCCGGGCGGGGGCCGCGGGGGGCCGGGGCGAGCTGGCACCGGGGAGCGCGGCCGGGGCGGGGGGCTCGGCCCGGGGTTGGGGCCGGGACCAGGGGACTGGGCGGGCTGCGACGGGGGCTGCGGGCTCACCTACCTGCTCCGGCGGCGGCTCCCGGCGCTCGGCGGCGCGCCCAGCCCCGAGGCGCGGTGATGGGCGGCGGGGCGCACCCGCGGTTGCGGTTCCCCGCGCCCTTCCAGGCGGGCGGGCCGGGGGCAGGAGGCGGGCAAGGGAAACGCAGCCGGAGCCGAGCAAATCCCAGCGTTGGAGCCGGCCTCCGAGAAGAGAAGGGCTGCAGCTCCTCACTGCGTCAGGCGGAGAGCCCTGCCCGTGCAGGCGGCGCCGGGCAGCGCTGCCAGGCCCGGGGGGCTCCCACCGGCACGGCTCGGCTCGGCTGGGATAGGCGCGGCTCGGCTCGGTTGGGATAGGCGCGGCTCGGCTCGGCTCGGCTGGGATATGCTCGGCTCAGCTCGGCTCGGCGGTGCGAGCGGAGGTGTGCGGCTCGGCTCGGCTCGGCCTGGCACGGTCCGGTTCGGCTCGGTACGGCTCGGCTCTGCACGGCCTGGTTCGGTTGAGCCTGGTTCACCTGGGCTCGGTGCGACCCGGCTGGGTCCGGCCGCGCTGTCGCGACACGGAGCGATAAGCGGCTTGGCCGGGAGAGACGGGCGGGCACCGGAGGGGGGGGGAGCGGCCGGGTGTGTGTGTGTGTGTGTGAGACACTGTGTGCGTGTGTGTAACTCTGTGTGTGACACTGTGCATGTATGTGAGACGCTGTATGACACTCGCATGTGCGTGACACTGTGTGACACTGTGTGTGTGTACATGGCACTGTGTGACACCTTGTGAGAGCAGGGGGGTGAGTGTGTTGGGGTTTGTGAAGGTGTGAGTGTGCATGTCTCGGGGACACCTGCCTCTGTGTATGTGTGACACTGTGCTTGTTGTGGTGACACCCTGGGGGGTGCAGGGATGGGGGGGGGGGTTGTGTTGGGGGGTATCTCTGCATGCGTGTGCGTTACAGGCCATGGGGGGAGCGCAGGAGCCTGGGTGTGTCAGTATTTATGCACGTCTCCATCTCTGTGAGCCCATGTGAACATCTCGGTGTGTCCCCATGTGTGCATGACAGCCCCCCACCCCTCACACCAAACCTGAATCCCCATGGGTCAAACTGGGCCCAACGGGGCAGTGCCAGGTGAAGCTGGGAGCACGGGGGACTGGGATGGGCTGGCTGGGAGAGCAGAGGCAGATATGGGGCTGGGCCAGGCCCCCCACCAGATCCCCAGCTCAGCCCTTCCCAGGCATCCTCCTGCCCCAGACCACCCCTCACCTGACCCAGAGACTGCCATCCTGCCTCCCCATTTTTTTATTTTTTTTTTTTTTTATGCTGTTTCAGCAACCCAACACACAACTTCAGGGTGATTAAAGCGTGGCTGGCACTGAGCCGGCCCTCAGAATAAAAGTGCTCTTCTCTCTCCCCAGGCACTGTCATTTGAGGTAAGGACTGGACAGTGCATTTCTTGTGATGGCCCAGAGTGTCTCTAGCCATCTTCAAAACCATCTCCAAGCCCAAGAGTCCCTTTTGCAGCCTTGCAAGGAGGTGACAGGGAAGACAGAGAAGGTGGGGAGCAGGAGATAAATTTCACTCCTTTCATTTAATAGCAACAACACCACCACCACAGCCAGAAAACCTGAAGCACGGAGTAACAGAGCTGGGAGACAGCCTGGGAGCGGGCAAGCCATGGCCCCTCTCCAGAAAGCAGCTGGCAACCTGGCGCGGCACTCGGCTGCGTTAGACTCACAGCCCCGGGGAAGCGCCCATGGACATGCAGGAGACACCCCTGCATGATGGAGAGGACAGGGCAGGGAGAATGGCTCCAGCATCATCTGCTCCACAGCCCTGGTCTGGCCCCTGACCCGCTAGGGAGGCTGTAGGCCTTGGTCTCCATGTGAACTGGTTGCTCTGAGGTTCTTCCATTCCCTTTCTCCTTCCTCTTCCCCTTCCCTGCCATCACCTGGGTTCATGCCCTTGAACCATAGGAGACCCCTCCCTCCCTGGAGCACGGATATCCCTTTTCTCCCATGTCCCATGGGACGTCTTGAAGACAAGGAGTTCCTGTTGAAATTGCTTTGGACTAATAAATGCACAGACTGTGACATGAAATAGACAGGGGGCCATCATGAGAGTGGCTCTGGGGTCAAATATTTCTTCCTGGGGAGGCTGGAGATAAGAGGTCCCATCCCTCCTTTGCCTTTGCTGGAGAAGGCTCTCGAGCCCAGGGTTTGTATCAGATCTCCTCGGACAGGGAAAGGACACTGCCAGGTCCCTCCCAGTGCCAGGACCAGGGTGTCCCAGGGTGCAGCCCTCTCCTTGGTGCCACACAGCCCCCGGGACAGCCAGGAACACTGCGGGCTCATGCCAGCCCTGGAGCTGGAGCTGGCCCCTGACAGCTGGAAGAAGAATCGCCCAGAGGGGACAGGGATGCCACTGGCACTGCGCTCCATTGCAGGTCTTCACCATGGAGATCAGCAGTGAGGAGAGGGAAGGTTTGTAAAAGGCTCTTTGCAAATTTGCTGCCTGCTGGCATGCAGCACCCAACACCCCAGGGCTGCTTTGGGAGAGGCAGCCCTTCCAAACCTCCAGCCTCACCCACGGATCAAGGACAGGCTTTAAAGCAGCATTGTTCCTACCAGGGCAACACAGGCTGGGGAGAGTGGAAAGACCCAGTGCAATCAAACAACTTTGCAAACCAAGATAAATTAATAAAAGAAGTAAGTACTTCTGAGCGAGCTGCTCCAGTTCTTCTGGGAGGAAGTGATGCCAGCCCAGCCTCTGGCCCTATATTTAGTAAAAATCTAAGCCAGACATTGATAATATTATTAAAGCCAGGAAGGAGTAAAAGAAGACTAGTATTGCTGGAATGACTGATCTATTTACGTGAGATGGTGGAAGGAGTGCTGTGAGAAAGGTGTCTCGGGTCAGGAGAGCTTCTGCAGGCTCTTACCCTCGACCAGCAGAAGAAGACGTCTGACACAGCAGGTTTGAGCAGTCCTAACCCAGTTTAACGAGTGGTATGGGAGGGAGAGGGGTTAATAAAACATTGGCTGCTTCTCCCAGCGATGTGGAGGTGGTGCGGGAATGAGAGCTCTTCTGCTGCCTTTTGTAGCATCACCTGGAAGGGAAATGCCGGCCAAAGGACAGAGAGTTGGCTGGGCAGTGCTCCATTTGTCCATGCAGAACGGAGAGGTGTTAAGTTAGATAAGGACATCAATGGCTCTGAAACCCAGTGTGACCTTGGGCGAGCAACATCCCTCCTGGCCTTGCTCAGGGCAGGGACCAAGCTGTCCCCCGTGCGGTGCCCACAGCAGCAGGGCTCAACTCTGGATTCTCTGTGTCGTAGTGATTGTGACAACCTGGTGTCCTCCGAAAAAGAAAAGCGCTCCCCAAAATAGGGCATTCTGGAGGGAAAGGTGGCAACGTGACGGCCTTGTGTCTGCCTCTGCAGAGCCTGGGCAGGAGTCAGATGTCCCCACCCTCCCTTCTTGAGACCCCATGTGGGGTGAGGGATGGAGCTCTGGGGTCCTTTGCTCGCTTTTACCATTCCTCTCCCCCCAAAAGCAATGGCTTCAAGTCTCTTAACAATCACAAGCGCCTGAACCCCCGCAGGGAGACCCATAACAGCAGTGACCCCCTGTGCACAGAGGGCAAAAGTCCAACCAGCCTCGCTCCACCCAGGGCTCCTGTGAGGGCTATGCCTGCAGCTCCTCGCTCCTGCCGCCGGCACGTGCAAAACACACTGTGACAGGGAGCTCTCGCCAGCAAAAAGGGAGAACAATCCTTGCGGGAAGGGCATGATCTCCCCCCTTCATGTTCCTGTGAGACTGGGTGGTGTCCCTCAGCTTGGAGGGGGAGCAGATCTGCCCCACCACCAAGACACCATCCAGCAGTACGAGGGGATGCTGTCATGCGGTTCCCAGCGATGCACCAGCGCGGCTGTGGGTGACTCGCCATCCGAGGGATCATTTTTTGCACCCTGAGATGATTCTTCGTTGTTGCTGTCAAATCCTATCTAAAACTCATCAGACTAATTAGAAAACAAAAAATGACATTTTACGGGCTGTTAGTGCTGTAAGTGGACTAAGGCCTTATGGTATTTAAAGAATGTTTGGAAAACAACTGCGATATTTACATCTGGGAAAGAGTTACCGGGCTCAGGCAGAAGCTGCATTTCAGAACATTTTTGTTTAACATACTCAGCCTTGGTGACGACAAATATTACTGCACATCATTACCCCAATTTTTCAGGGTGCTAATACCTCATCCATTGCAAATCATATCTGCTGTAGACTTGGCAGCCTGGATGTGTTTTTATAGATTCCCATTTGTTCTGATTTTCTTTTTCATTTTTGTCTTTGAAACTCTGAAGAAGTTAATTTTATGTCAGAAAAAGGTATCAGCGGTGGGGACAGGGGACATGCTGCCCACAGCCCTGGTGCAGAGTGGTTGTACATCATGAATTGCTCTCCTTAGGGCCTCCCACTTGGAGCTGGTGGAGACATCCAGGACTGGTTTGGTCTCTAGATCTACCTTTACTTTCTGGGCCTGGCAGCTAAGGTGATGTCCATGAGGATGGTGGAGTTGTCATGCAGATGCTCAACCACCTCTCAAAGCAGATACACTTCCCTACACCATGTGCTGCTTGTATTGACTACCAAAGTTTGAAAATGGGCCGTATTTGGTCCTATTCCTCCTCATTGATGCTGATCACTACCTCCCTACCATGCTTGCATCCCTGTGGAGCATAAGGGGTCCTATGGCTATGAGTTCAGTGCAGCAAAGGTTGGGTGTCCTTCACAAAGGCCCCAGGGGACTCATCCCACTGTTGATGCTTTCTGTTGGCCCCTCTGGATATCCTGACATGCTGTTGTAGTGCAGATTACATAGCTCCTTCCACCCAAGGACCACTAAGCAAGTAAGCAGAGTGAATAATTCACAATGAGTAATTTCTTTAAAGATTTTTGTCTTTTTTTTTTTCCTGCTCATACATACGTTGTCCATGAAGAGAATGAGAAATTCTCCAGTGCACTCATTTGGTGTTATTCACAAGTCTCTTTGGTGAGTAACTCTCAGCTTGCAGGTGCTTTCAAACCAAGGAGCCTGTCACCAAATCTTCAAGTTGCAATCTGGGTCATGGCCCAACAAAACACACATTTACCCTGCGTGCTTAGCCACCTCCAAACACCAGTGGATGGAGAAAAAAGACTTGTCTCTGCCCTTCTCAGCACTGCACAGATCCAAAGACATTATGACCCCCATTTTTACAAATGTCCACTGATTTGGGGGCCTCATTTAAGACATTAAAGGCATGCTGCTGGTAGTCAAGTTTTAGTGTCCTTTGGGGTGGTGACAGAGGCAAGTTGGCTTGAGTCTGGAGGTCTTCACTTTTCTTTCCTTTGTTGCTGTGCTTTCAGTTCTCCTATGCTCCTGGTGTCCATCTGAGGACATCTCCAGTGACCCTTTGCTCAGAGTCTCACCTTGTCACGCATGAGGGACCTCATCTGTCCCTCAAAAGGCAGAGCTGCTTCAAGGCCTGCCAGTGGCACTGGCCAAACCAAGCGATGTTATTCCAGGGCTGTCATTGAGATGAAGCTACACGGCTTTGCCAAAGCCATCCCTGAAGCTGATCCCCAGTAAGAAAGGTTGACAGGGAGCACACACCTGCCTTGGAGACATGTAGCTGCAGCATGACTTTCTTTTTATTTACAGAGCATCAGATTGCACATTTCCTAAGAGCTCTGATTCATCCCTCCCAGACTCTAGAACAAATACTCCAAAATCAGTCTGCAGCATGGGGACAAGCTTTGTTCAGTGCTTTGAAAGAGAGCAGGTAAAGTCATTACCCTCACTTTGCATAGCAAAAATGATATGCATAAAGCTGCATAGAACAACCCTGCAAAGCTCAAAGGAAACAAATGGGCGACTTGCACCATGAATTTCAATGGGACTTTGTGCCGCCAGGATAATAGCCAGCGAGACAGTGAAATATTGCATAGAGAGACACTGGGCAGTAAAAACAAGTTCAACTTCCTAATGTGGTGGAATATCCCGCAATATCGCATGGGGGGAGATTGCAGAGCAATTGCACGGGTGCATGTGGAGCAGCCTGAGAGATAACGGAGGGTGCTCGGAGCCAGGACAGGAATAATTCATGAAGGTGGTCAAGGTGGGGTCTTTTAAACACGGGGTATTACCCTGCAGCTTCTCACTGGAGCTGCCGCCCACCGCAGCTTGAAGAGCTATTTATCCAGCTTGTCTTGCAGGCAGCACCTGGTTTACAGGGAGGTCTCCAGCCAATTTTTCACATGGGTTAGCTACAGCCCTTAGAGCACCCGACCTGCTGGAGGCCAGCAGTGGCTGCAGGATGGAGATCTGTAGTCAAGTTTCTTATTATTATTACCAGCAACTGCCTTCACACTGATCCCTGGCTGCCATACACAGCCCAGCTGCAGGTTCCCGCTGTGCTGTGGTCCCAAGCAGGAGAGAAGGGAGAGTTTGCAGGAGAAGGGGCTGGCCCCAGGGTGCCCCCGACCAGGGCTACAGCACCCACAGCAGCACCCCAGCTCCATGGGGATGGTGCTCCAAAGCAACTCTGCCTCCTGTGAGCTCCCTGCTCCTCCCACCATCCTCGGCAGGATGCCCTGTGGGCCATGGTCTCTGCAAGGTCTCTAAATATTGACCAAGGAAAATCACCCTCCCGTTTGACACCCAGAGAAAAGGAGGCCTCCACATAGCTGGGTAACTCACCCGAGGCTGGAGCAGAGTGAATTAGCATCCTTTAAATTAAAGAGCTTTAAACAGCATCTTCTCCCCAAACTGCCACTATATCCATTTCAATAGTTACAGCAAACACTTTGCAAGTAGACCCAGAGGAAGAGGAAGGAGGAGGGAGAAAGCCAAGACAGAAAGGACGGGTGATGCTCTGACACAGCAGGGAGGGGGCTGGGAGATGCCTGTTTGCACCAGGAGCAGCCGCTCTCTCACAGAGGCAAAGATGTTAAAGCAACTGATTCCCTCAGGCACCCTAAAATTTTACAGATTGCTGATGGTGAAAGCAATAAATGAAAGGACACCTTTGAGTGAGCACTCATGTATTAAACAGTCTCAGAGGTTGTCCCCATGCAAAACAGAGTGTGTCTTTCAAGGCCGTGTAACTCCACAGCGGATACAACAGATGAGGGGTGCTAAATCCAGACAGAGAAACCTCACCAGGACCTTCAAGCTGCATTTTCAAGATGTCCACAACAAGGGGAAATGACAGTGCAATAGTCTGACTGTCACAATGGAGATTGGCTACTGGTTCCTGTGTGTGGCCACCTGGCTATTTAAGGGTCAGTTGTGTTTTGGGCCAAAGGCAGATGGAGAGAAAGGCGAGAAGAGCTGAAATGTGTAGGTGAAGCTACAAGACAGGATTGGTTAGGTCACAGCTGTGCCACTTAAACTTTTTGGCTCTGAAAAGCAGAAGACTAAGATGGGTGAAAGCACTGAACAAACTGGAAATTCAGATGGGAATCCAGCTACTCAATACACCAAATCTCAGATTAATAACACCACCTCAGGTTCCTCTCCTATTTTAAGGCTGACCAGAGATGCAGGACATCCAGAACATGAGCATATTCAGGAAGAGATTTGGAAATGGGTTCAGAATGAGTCACACGGTGCATCTCGTTTTCCCCAGGATCCCGGGAGCAGAGACCTCCAAGTCCTTCACCTTCTTTATCTGACTCCAGGCAGGCTGAGCACAGCCTTGAAAGAAAAGTGTGGGGAGCAGCTCGCCTCCGTCCACACCAATCTGCAGCCCCAGGACTCTGAAGGCAGCACTGGGGTAATTTCCCTTTTATTGACATGACGTTGAAAATAGCACAGCACGTGGGGCTGCTGACTCAGAGGTACCCAGGTAAGGAAGGAGCCACTGGGGAGGCTGAAAAGCTGAGAACAGATCCCACGACGAGACCTGGCCGTGCGGTGAACTACAGACATCCAAAATAGCATTTGTCTCTGCTGAGACTCACAAGCTCCTTGGGAAGGACCTGCTATTCCGCAATGCCATCAGATCCTCGGGGAATATTTTGCTCAGAGAAGGGGAGTTTGGAGGATTTCTGCAGCTTCCCCTCCCAATCTCAATTTACCTCGCTGAATTAAAAGCAGTGTGGGCTGGAAATGACGTTAAAAGGAAAAAGGAGACAGAAAAATCACACTGAGTGTATTGTTCTAGATAAATAAGACATAGGCGTGTTGCAGAAGGTAGCTAAACCCATCCCACAAATGGTCTTCTCCTGCCAGGAAGATGTGACAAAAATAATTACTCCAGCTATACATAATTATTGCACTGCTTTGAGCAGCCGCCTGCCCTTGGCACAGTTAAGGAAGCCTTCACCTGATATTAGTTAACGACATTAACCATTAGCCTGTTAATGTCCTGACCCACTAAATGGTCTGGGATGAAGGATGTGATGTAGCCTCTGTGTCTGCCCACCCAAGAGGGGCCACCATGTGCCTGCTGAAGTAGAAAAACTCCCAGTTGCACCAGTGTCTGAAGATGGATGGACCCCAGTGTAATCCTGCATCAAGATCTCCACTTGGGAGATGCTGGTCACCATTAGCAGGGCCAGGTTGGCCCCACAGATGCCAGTGGTGGTTTGTGGTCCTCAGGGGAGGTAAGACCAATGCCAGAAAACACAGAATCGGTTTGATGGTGAAAAATGAAAGGGAAGAGGTAATAAAATCACTTTTTTTCTCCCTCAAGTGGAGAAAGCTCCAAATTCCTCCAGTTTTAGTCCAGCTGCCAGAAAGGGAGCTGTTCCACTGGTCACTTGGGGAAACCTCAGTGGGATAAATTAAATGTTCTTCACTTAATTCTCTCATAGGAGGAAATAAGAGTTTTACAGCCAGCTGTCAAACACTCTGCAGCTAAAATATCAACAAAGTATGACAGACACGAGACGGAAAAAAGCCTCTGAGGTTTCCCTTTATTGACTGGGAAGTCTCTGTTTCTTATTATCTTTCAAGCTAAACTGATATGAGCTGAACAATCAGGAAATTGAATAGCATCACTGGCAAAGACCATCCTCTCCCCAAATAGATGACAGTGATAAATACCTGAGAAGACCCATCGCTTCAGCACTGTGGGATCTAACAAAATGGAGCATTTGATCTCATCTCATACAAGCCATTCGGCCAGAGGTGATGGAGATCCAAATATCCTGCATCTCCTATAGGTTTATCTGGCAATAATCTAACATTTGGGTCACATGGAGCTGGGTCGCAGATTGATAATCACATACTTGAAGATCACAGGCTATGAAAATTATTGCTGTGCTGGCTGGAATAAATTATGCAAAGCAATGCGTTATCTGGAAGCCTGCAACGCGCACGCACATGCACACACACACACTTCGGTGATCTATCGCTCTCCATGCAGATGTTCTGCTGCAAAGACATTTTAATTAATACATTGAAAATACATTTCCTGCCTTGTCTGAGCCGGAGATGAGCAGGGAAATGACGCCAAGTGGGGGAAAAGCCCCCACTGCAAAAGAAATGATGAAGGGAAATGCAATGACTTAAAACCAGTCAGAACTAAGTGGTATCTGAAATGGGGCCCAGTCATGCATTGAGCTGGTTTTGGTGGGAGAATGAGCAGCAGAGATTGAAGCTGCTCTCCTGAAGGCACTACAGGGCTGTAGCTGTAGCACAACGCCTCAATTCTTACTACCCCTATTCCTCCTGCCAAGGACATCCCTGCACCTACTCTCCATCCCCAGCATCCTCGCTGCCTACATGGGCAGTGCCATGAAGGACCCAGGTTAAGGGTCAGTGAGTCACTGTTCAAAGCAGAAACAAAACCTAATGCATGAAAATGTGGCTCTTCCAGAAGAGCCACCAGAATGAAAAAGCCCAGTCGAGACACCATCCACACCAGGAACATCTGGATGTAAACACCTCATTTCCAGCCAAGAGAAATAATTTGAGAAAGCCATTTCCATCCCTCAATGCAAAGTGAAATGATGGGACATTTGGCTTAATTAGAAAAAGGATTTTTGTCTTTCATGCTTTTTTCCTTTTCTATTTTCATTGACTCTCCTGCCTCACCCATGAGTCTCTCCCACATGGGCTGGCCGTAGTGGCAGCAATAAATAAAAATGGGCACTGATTGCCCAGCTGTCCTCAGTGCCCACCCCAAGAGGTGCAGCCCTGGGCTCCCACGAGCTATCCCGCCTTTGTGGGCATTAGAGATGGCCTCACCTATGGCACTGAGAAGAGGAGGCTTAAATCACCCCACCAGAAAGTGGTTGGAGAGATCCACAAAAGGATGGGAGAGGAAGTGAGGAGGCAGGTCAGGAAGGCATAGACCAGGTAGTGGTGCTAATACCAGTTTGCATCCTGATGGCTTGGGACAAAATCCCACAGGGAAGGGAGGGCAGAGGGAGGTGGGGAGTTGGGGCCGGAGGAAAGATGAGCCAGACAGCAGCCAGCCTCCCCAGAGGAGGCACATCCACAGGGACCCCACTCAGCAAGCATGTCCTGCCTGGCCCACAGCTGATTTGGCCACAGTGGGGCTGTTGCAACCCTCCAATGTGTCCTTCTTGTAAAGTGATGCTTGGCCATGGCCCAGGATTAATCCTCAGTGGGAGAGTGGGAACCCAAAGATTTCTTCCCCTGGGGAGGAGGATGTGCCTGCAAAGACACCTCGTGCCAGGAGCTGAGCAGGATCTGATGAAAGGAGACAAGTTACCACCCCAGGGTCTGTCCTCACCAAGGGGACACACAGGCAGGTCAGCGTGGGGGATACAGCTCAGCTGAGCAGCTCCATCACGCTCCATTGGGACTCAGGGAGAGCGATAACCAAAACCCCCAGCCAAATCTAATCAGCATGGAGGGCTCCGGCCTCAAGCAGGGAGAAACCTAGATATATTCCCTGGA